TGGCGAGAACTAAGGCAGTTCAAATGCTGCGGATGAAACTCGTCTTCCTTTTCTATTGTTTCCATTTTCTTAAGTTTTTACTTAGGGACACATGTCAAAGCTTAAAATTAATTAATGGTTAAAATTTATTTAACTAAAAAATAGTCCTAACCATTGTAATAATAAATGCAAAATACATCGTCAGACCTTTAAAGTTGTCTACATTTTTCACATAAACACTTTATCTTAAATATGTTTCATTTGAACACTTTAACAACTCTGATACCCTGTTGTCTATAATTCGTCACAATAAAGTGTGATAACCTTAAAACGGTTCTCTCTAAACTTTGGCCTTTACTATGTCATTTATACACAAAATTTGTAGGCAACCAAATATAAAAAGTATGTGTAATTCACACGCAGAGTGATGAATAAGTGGAGGACACGTGGATTTAACTTAAACAAATTTAAAAAAATAATATATATATATATATATATATATATANTTCACACGCAGAGTGATGAATAAGTGGAGGACACGTGGATTTAACTTAAACAAATTTAAAAAAATAATATATATATATATATATATATATATGAGAACCCCACCCCACCAGTTGTCATCTTCCCCAACGATCCCTCTCCGTCAAAAATATCAATTTTTCAGCCATGTTTATTTTGCTTCCTCGTCGTCTTCCACACTCATTTCTTCTGCCATTTTTAAGCTATAAATTCAATATCAATCTTCCTCTTCCTCACATCATCCCATTCTTTCTTCGTTTTGATCCAACTCATTCTTTTAACATTTTCTGGTCAATCCCCAAAAAACTATTTCTTCCATTTCCAATCATTTTTCTATCAAGTTTTGAGCCACTTTTTTGCTTCTTTTTTTTCAACCATAGATTTGACCCACTTGGAAGAAGAAAATATATTGGGTTTGAGTTTCTTAATTCTGAAAAAGGATGGTGAAAGGTAGGTTATTGGTGGTAAAAGTGGAGTACTTGGGTTTGGCATTTTTTTTTATTACTTTCCTTTATATATTTGGGCTTGTTTTGCATTGCAATTTTTTAGAGTGATTATGAGAGAGAAGAAAAAGATTAAAATTTTGAATAAACTAGTTTCCAGAAAAATTCGTTGGTTACTCCATATTTCCGGCGAAGAAGGGTGAGAGATAAGAGAGGAAGAAAAGAAAAGAATAAGAAAAGAAAATAGAAAAATAATGAGAAAAATGTTGGAGTTTGTTTTTCCATATATTTTTACGCGCTTGAAAAATGTGAGAAACGCTTGCCTTGTCATGTCACCTTTTATATCAAAATGACAATTTTAAGAGATTGTCGATGTATTTTGCCAATAATACATGTTCCATATAATTTTTCCCAAATATTTTGACAATTCCATAATTCTAGCTACACATTATATTCTTTTTAAATATATTTTAAAAGTTTTACTCTCTTTCGTTGAGTACTCTTTGTGCGTATTTTCCTATATTTATTAATTAGATGCGAATTATTTATCCTTTCCATGAGAAGTAAAGTATTACTTACAAAAACAAGGATAAGCATGAAAATCGTCAAGAAAATTTACACTAACTCTTAGGAAGATGAGATAGACTTCAATGAGATGATATTTCGAAAAAATCTGAAGAATACAATGTTTTACATATATATCAATCAGGAATGAAGTCTACAAATTGCAGATATAAGAACCCCATCTGTTTTATAGTGCTACTCGAAATACATGATTTTTTTTTTTTATTTTGAGGTCATCTTTAATGGATTCTTATATCGTCTCGGTTGATATCTAATTTTAAAAGAGAACGACATTTTCTGTAGGAATGCGTTTCGGCATTAGAGGACACAACTCGATAGAATTTTAATATCGAATCCTTTTAAATTTGTTAGTATTATTTTACAAAAACTATTTTTGTTACTTTTAAGTTTCTATTATCAGATGTTTTTACTTCTTACATTTCTCATGTTTGAATGAGAATATCCAAGAAGATCTCGTAAGAAAATAGCAAAGAGAGTGTATGCGGTAATAATGGTTAGTGACACTTGGACAAATGAGGAGATTGACATGTGAAATTGAAGATATGTAAGATGTGAGTCAGTAACTAGTTGGTATCAGATACAAGCATGTGACAGGTGGCGGGTGAATTCCGAAGATAGGGCAACCGGCACAAAGATTTGAAGGGGTGATATCGGATAGCATTCAATGAGCAGTCGTTACAGAGAATATCTGCATTTATAGTCAACCGTTATAGGGCTATCAATGACGATTTCATTCTCATTCAAGAGGAACTTGATTTGGGGATCCCGTCTCCCTAAATAGAGCTATAAATAGGAGAATTAGTATCCAATGTACGACACAAAATATTTTGTACACAAAAGCTAACATCAACTCTTATTCTATCAAATTGCTTTTTTGCCTGATTCTTAACATTGTTCTTGTTATTGCTATCGGAGAAGCTAAATTCATATCCATGCTCGTATTTACTTTAGGTTATTTTATAATCTTGATTTATTTCTTATCTATTTCATATTTCTGTATCAAATTAATTCACGTGTGTATAAATTATGTTATAAATTTAACAGTATCGTTTTACAGGTAAACAGAGAGAACAAGAATAAATAATCTTTAGCTAATTGATAAATATAGGAAAATACGCATAAGAAAAAAGGCACTCCAGGAAAAAGAGAAAACCTTTTTAAAATGTACTTAGAAAAGAGAAAATATACAGTTAGAATTGTGGAATTGCCAAAATATTTGGGAGCAATTATATGGAATTACATTAGTATCTTAATCATGGTTAGGTTCCTTTTTAATTAATTAAATTTTAACCACTAATTTTAAACTATGACATATATCCCTCGTCAAAGTAGAAACTTGAGAAAACGAAGATATTAGGAAATGGATTGGAGTTTAATCTCCTAACAAAGCGAACTATTGTATACTCTATTTATTACGTAAACATAGAATGAGCTGAACCTACGTGGGACAGCAAGTGCAAAACTGATCTGGCAAAAATACATGGACTATCCTGCCTACGTGGCCACCTAAGACTTCTCTATTCTGCCACGTCTTATCTATAAACCGATAATATGCTACCATCTATAAATTTAAGGTAGGTAGTTTCTATTAATCTCATTAAAGGACTCGTTTGGTTTGAGGGAAATAATTATATTATTTGGACATAAGATTCCATTAATACAAAGAAATTAATGGGAATATCTTCACATAAATCTAGGATGAGGAAGCAATATATATTCCTCGTAAACGTTAACTAAACATATGATGCTATTTTTGTACGTATTTGTCTTAAACGTTTGCATGTCTTCGTAAATACGAACTTCCTCGTGTTCGTTCTACTACATGACATCTGTTGTGTTTATCCAATATTGTTAAGGATTATGATCAAAACATTCATCCACTTCAAGTCAGCCTCTATATTATCTGTATATAAATGAGGCCGTCTCTCCCTTTCTCATCACATCTCTTCCATAAACAACTCTTCAACAATATCCCAAAAAAGAAAAAACTCAACTCTATTAGTGTAGAAAAGTTCAACCATGGATTTAGCTCTTAGAGATTTGGGTTTTGATCCATCGATGATAGGTGCACTTCACGACATGTTTGATTTCATGGACGAAACAACAGAGCAAAAACCTCAACATCCGTCTAGGACTTACATACGAGACACGAAAGCCATGAAAGCAACACCAGCAGATGTAATAGAATACCCTAATGCCTACCAGTTTGTAGTGGACATGCCAGGGTTGAAACCCGACCAAGTCAAAGTCCATTTGGAGGATGAAAATGTGTTAGTAGTGAGCGGAGAAAGGAAGAGAGAGAAAGAGAAGGAAGAGAAAGAAGGGATAAAGTATCTTAGAATGGAAAGGAGATTTGGGAAGTTGTTGAAGAAGTTTGTGCTACCGGAAAATGCTAACACTGATGCCATATCGGCGGCGTTTCAGGACGGCGTGCTGGTGGTGACGGTGGAGAAGCGGCCACCGCCGGAACCCAAGAAGCCAAAAGTGATTGAAGTTAAGTTATTGGGAGGAGGAGAAAGTAGTACTACCGGCGGTGGTGGTGTCCAAGCAACTGAAGGAGGGGGTCAACAAGTCCAAGATGGAATTCCCGGTGAAGTTAAAACTGACTAAGATGTTTGTGCTATCTAAATAATCAGGCAGCCTTGTGTTGGTTTTTGCTTAGTTTCTTTTGCTGTTAAAAACTCTCTTGTGAAAGTTCAAAGGGTTTTGGTCGTAGTCTCCTAGATGTTTAAGTATGTAAAAATGTGTTAATAAAAAAGTCTATATATGTTAAAAAAACGTGTAAATGCATATATGTATCTGTATGGTTATGCTTTTTCAGAATGTTAATGCTGACTGTTGTAGTGTGAGTGGAGTATAATTTTATTGCAACAGTTTGTATACCAAAAAGTGTTTACACTATCATGTTATAATTAACAATAAATACTTCTATGTAACAAGTCTGATAGTATAAAAATGTTGAGTTTTCAGTGTATACAACTTAAGCCTATGTAATGCACTAAGAGAGTTGTGTAATTTTTTTGTTACGGTTGACAATATTATCCCTATTTTGAAGTTTGAAGTAATTTTGCAAGTGGTTATCTTGCAACTGTTTAAAGCGTTCTTTTTTTCTTCTTTTAGGTTGAGGATGTAGTGTTAAGTTACAAATGTTGGACTTTTCCTGATTAATTGGTACTCAATTTGTGTGTGGGGAAATATGGAAGCTAGCATGTCATTGTTCTTCTGACTTTGCATTATCTCTTAAAGAGGGGGCAAATGCACGTATAATCATTTTCAGAGATAGTTATTTAGAGATTAGTCAATACTTATTTTGTTCTAAAATTTTAAATTAAAAATTTTAATTTCAGGACAATTCAGAACATTTTTGTCCAGAAAATTTGAACCAGAAAACTCAAATTCACACGACTAATTTTTAAATAGTAGCTTAACTGGGGTCGAGAGAAAAGGCCCAAAAGTTTGTGATAATGTAGATATAGGCCAGCCCATTATTATGTGTGTTTGACCTTGACTCTTAATTATTCTAGAGTATTCAGAAAAACTCATGTCGGATCTCGTACCTTCATGCTATATGCCAACTTTAGTCATAACACTCGAAAGTTAGCTAGAAATCTCTAGCAACATTCTCGAATCATGGCTCCCTCGTTAGTACCTGCTATATAAATACATAACCAATTACAAGTGAAGCATAAGCAAGCATTTTCAATTGAAGCATTTTATCAAACACATTCTATACAGAGTCAAACTCGAGCAATTAATCACCATGGATTTCACCAACTTCGGCATCGACTCTAGGCTTCTCTCCACTCTTCAAGACATGCTAGACTTTGCAGACGATCACGAGAAGCCAACACAGAACAATCCAACAAGAACCTACGTTCGAGATGCAAAAGCCATGGCAGCCACACCTGCTGACGTGAAAGAGTATCCCAACTGCTACATCTTCATCATTGACATGCCGGGAATCAAAGCCAATGAAATCAAGGTTCAAGTGGAAGATGACAATGTTTTGGTGGTGAGCGGAGATAGGAAGAAGGACAAGGAAAAGGACGAGAAAGAAGGAGTGAAATATCTGAGAATGGAGAGAAGAGTTGGAAAATTTATGAGGAAATTTGTTTTGCCTGAAAATGCAAACATTGATGCCATTTCTGCTGTTTGTCAAGATGGGGTTCTTAAAGTCACTGTTGAGAAATTGCCACCACCCGAGCGTAAGAAACCTAAGACCATTGATGTCAAGCTTGCTTAAAATAGGGGAACTATATAGACAAATTAAGTTTGGTTCTATGAGTTTTATGTTTGGACTTTGGAGTTTGAAATTCTGTTTTATAGTGGTGCTTATGATGTATTTGGACTGTTTTCTGCTGTGTGTAAGACCTTTTGGTCTGTGAATTGTTAACATCATGAATAAATTTCTTTGAATTATTTACTGGAATTGTTGCATCTACACGGGAAAAATTGAAGTCATCAACATGTAAAAGGAACAATTCTTTAGTATATCTCCTAAAGTTTTTAAATGTTCTTGTTGTTTAAATTTAAGGAACGGGAGACAAACAATTGCTTGTGGCTCTTAATCTTAATACTAGGGTGACATGAATCATACGAATGCTAATGTTAGGGAATACTTCTGTTTCCTCGTGTCCTTTCTATGTTTTCTATACGTTGTTTAAAGTGTTAGTTAATACATAAGTTGGGCACCGAACTATGAATCAAATCTTATTTAAAACACCAAGATGGAAGCAATAAAATACTCTTTAAATACTTATTTAATACCACGTGTCTGGCAAATCC